GAAGAGGTGAGATTGAGGACTTAGTTGATTGCATGGAAAATGGAGGTGGAGGTGGGGGTGGAGGTGGAGGGGATGAGAAACCAGGGGTGATCTCAAGTCTGGTTGAAGTAGGTATGACAGAAACCTTGGAAGCAGCCGCGGCTTCATATGCAGCAACCTGTTCAACACGAGACATGACAGATTCTTCGTCCTCTTCGTCCCGAATATGCGCAGCTGCAGCCGCCACTGCTGATGCGCGGATTGTATGGCCGTTGTCATAACTTTTGTCGGGGACATGCAGAAATCCTGAGCGATTTGCAGCGCAGGTAGCAGCTGAGGCGGCAGCGGCTGCGGCCATTCGCTCTTCAGCGGCCCGAATCCGAGCAAGAACATCGTCTACTTTGGCATCCAGATCCGCACTGATGCTCTTCAAGCTATCGTCCTGAGACGCAGTCGGAAGAGAGCCATCGATAGGTGAATCGGATACATCTAAAGTCGACGGTCCCGTCGATGTTGACAGTGTTACGACCGGAGAAGCGCTCGTTGTCGAGTTTGAAATAACCGTACCAGAAGTGGATACGTCAGCCGAGGTTGTTATGTCAATATGATTCGAGGAAGGAATAGAAGGATTAGGTTGTTTTGCTCGGTTAGCTGCTTCTCGGGCACTAATTTGTCGCTGTTGATGGGCCGCCACTAGGACTTGAGTTTGGGCCAACTGAGCATTTCGTTGAAGCAAAAAAAGGACGAAAAAGAAAATGTGAAATTTGGAGGATATCATCCAATTTTGAAAAGAATTTTATTGTTTGTAAAACGATGCAAATTTAAAATAATCTCATTTTAGAGCCGATTGAAGGTTAAGATATGCGTACAGAATGAATGCAGAGGTATTATGGAAAAGAGAGATATATAAAGATTTTCATAACACACACAAAATTCACTCGTTTCGTCTACCCAAGGTGAATTGAACAGTGGTGAAATGAATGGAGCCGCTCGGATTGTTAGGGTCCTATTGAGCCCTTTAGCTGTCACACAATCGAAGAGCAGCAGTTTTAAGGAATTCAAGCAATTCGCAGAAGTTAAACCCATTTCTACGCAAAAACGCACTTCAAAATGTTGTCACCTAGAAAGTATTAGTCGCTCAAGTGTTCTATTTTTCCGGGTACTACTCTAAATGTTTTTCATCACCTTTGGACCTTAAGAAGTTACATCTGGCAGACTGGTCAAGGCTGTATCCAATTCAGTAAACGATTTTAGTGAGTAACTCGTTAATTCCTACTTGGTGTTTCGAACATCGATGTTGTTTACGAACTCTTTCATTGTAAGCTAACATGGTAAACTCGACCAAGGCGTCA